AAATCAACGTTATTTTTTAAAAGATTTTTAAATTTTTGCAAGGAGTTTTCGTTGATCAGTCGCAGTTAAAGTTTGCAGTCAAAGTTTGCATAAAGTTCAAGCAATAAAAAGTATTAACTACCTGTTAGAAATTATTATGAAAAAAAAAAGAAAATGATGTTCTTGTTTTATTTTTAAGATTAAACAAAAATAATTTCCAAATGATGTCATTTTCGTCAAAAAATATTTTCCAAACGATGTCATTTTCCTCAAAAACATTTTCCAAATGATGTCATTTTCCTCAAAAATATTTTCCAAATGATGTCATTTTCCTCAAAAAAATAGGACTCTAACTACTGCACCACGGCCGCATATATCACATATCTTTTGCATGGTCATTCTTAAATTACATCACGCAATTTTTGATTATTTTTGATCCTCTTGTCACAACATCGTAACTTTTAGTAACAAGTCCCGTACAAGTTGTCACAAAACCACTCACTCCCTCCTTATAAAACATGACGTTATTTAGAGACGAAAAACGAAAACTAAATTTTTGCAGCTACCATTTGATAGCCATATACAATTATTACAACTTAAAAGAAAGTTAGCTGAAGTGGAAATAAATAAAAAGAAATATAAGTGAAAAATAATTTAATATGAAATGTTTTTTTTTAATATAAAAATAAAAAAACAATGTGAAAAATAATATGCAAAATAAAAAGTAAATAATATATAATGTAAATTTAACTATTACCTTAACTATTAAAGTAATTATTTCAACTAAAGTTGATATTCAGAGTTTTTTTTTTATTTCTTACACTTTCTGGCTAAAATAAAAATAAAGTTAAAATTATTTAACAAAAAAATAAATTAATAAATAAACAAATATAAACTAATTTTAGGTTTAACAAAAAACAAAATTTTTAGCATATAAGATTTTTTTGAATTTTTTTTTGAGTCAAACAAATGTTAATGCAGTTAAAAAAAAAAGAGTTCATTAAAAATTATTTATTTTAAATTATTTAATTTAAATAATTGAATTTAAATTATTAAAAACTTTAAACATTAATTTTAACTTTAAAAAGCTTGAAAAAGAAAAAGTTTAAAAACAATTAAAAAAAACAAAGTTTATTTAGTAATGTAATAAAAGTGGAAATGAAAAGAGAGTTAAAAAAGAAGAAGAATTACAAGCTTTAAAAATATTTTTATGAGACAAAAATTCATAAAAATAATAACATTAGTCAAAATAATAAATCACAAAAAATTGGTAAGAAAAAAAAACAAACAAAAAAAAACACGATAGTAGTAGTATAATATTTATGGTATACAATAAATAATTTTAATTGAAAAAATGAATTTAATACTCGTTCAACCAAATTATTCATTTCATAAAATATTTCCGATTGTTGCTTTCTTACGCGCATTGTTATACATCTTACGCGAGCATTTGTTACGCGAGCATTTGTTGACATTCTCACAACACGTTCAACCAATTATTCTTTTCAAAAAACAGTTCCGATTGTTGATAAAATGCGGTTACAACTAGGTATTATATCAAAATTGTGTTCTTAAAAGGTGTATGTTTGGATATGCACCTGGGTGTGTCATGCTATTTGGTTTAAAAAAAATTGTTTCACAAAAAATCGGTTTATAGAAAACATAATAATTCAAACTAAAACATTTTTTTATGTCACTTCTAATTTAAAGCGTATGGATGTCAACAAATCCTCGCGTAAAAAACGTGTGTTAACATGTTTTTTACGCGAACTTTTGTTGACACGTTCAAAGTAGTTAAGGAGAGATCCGGACCCTTTCGTTTTCAAAAGAAGCCGTTTTATTTTGGGGGCGTTTTGATTAGTTACTTTTTTTAAAAAATCACGAAGCTCGTTGTTTTGATTTGTTCACAAATATTTTATTATCTTCGAGTTTGAAGTTTTAGCTTAATGCTATGGGGTAGAAGTTATATAAAAACTAAATCGTTTTTTTTTAGTAAGTTATTCAAACGACTATAAAGAGATATGGAAGTAAATTGCTATGAGTGAAAACTAATGTGAAAACATTGATTTTAACATTTTTACTGTTTACGTAAAGATAAAATAAGACGTTTTATTTTTATTAAATTTATGAGATATTTTAATGCTGTAAACAAGTCTTTATACTTTCGAATAAAAGAGACATTTTTGGTATGTAAATACTTAACACATTTGTTTCAGCTGTTTTTATGACGCTACCCCGATGCATTTTATGTCTTTTAGAGGTAGTTTTATTTTGCTTGATGCTTTGGGTAAATAAAGATTTATAAAAGAAATAGTAAATTATATAAGAACAGCTTAAATTTTACTTTTTAAAATTGTATTGCAGTAATAGTCAAAAATGAGCGGAAAACATAAATAATTGAAGTTTAAAAATGTAAATTTTTGTTTTTAAGAAATGCAAATCATTCGAATACGCCGAGCGCATTAAATTATAGGCGACATAAATTGCAAGATTCTTTTGATAATTATCGTCAAAATGAATTTTTATATTATGTTTATATGCCAAAAAGTATTATTTCAATTAAACAGCCATAATATAAATCTTTTATCTATTACAATGCCTTTAAAAAATTTAGTAACTTTTTAAATTTTTTTTACATGCTCTGGTAAATAATCGCTAAAATCTTTTAACAATTACCAATATATTAAAAAATTGTTACATAAAAATTATATTTCAAGGCCGGCAACACAGGAGGGAGGGGGGGGGGCAGGAGACCACGTTTTAAGAAAAATCTTGATAAAGAGGACTTTTTTCACGTGAAAAAAATTTGTGATGATTGTGTCCCCCCCCCCCCCCTTCTTCAAAACCCGTGTCGTCGGCCCTGTATTTTATTGAAAATCCTGTAATCCTGTAAATCTTATCTTATTAAAAATCTATATTAAAAATCTTGTTTTATATTTTTTATTAAAAAAAGCATTAAACAGAGTTTTTAAAGAAAATATTTGATTTTGTATTTTTATTGTTTTCAAACATTTTATTAAAATGTTTTTTGATTATTATAAAACTTAATTATAAAATTTATATTATATTAATTATAATTAATTATAAATTAAAAATATATTAAGATTTATTGAAATACATATCTTTTTTAAGTTTACTAGCTGTGTATATAAATTGCAAATTGGTATGACAAAAAAATAAATACAAACTTATTATGAAATGAACTTTATGTTTATGCTTATCAAAAATATAAAACAATATTTATTCACATCAATTATTTTTAATATAACAAAAAATCTATACTAAAATTCACAATCTTGTCTAAAAAATGAAACGATGTTAGTCAGTTAATTTTACTCTAAAGTAATAATATATTTAAGTTAATTGAGTTTTGGGAAAACATCTTATAAAGCAACCCAAATCAATATGCTTTTTAATTGTCAAAAAGACATTTATTCTTTTAAAATTTGAAGTTTTCAGCTTTGTTGCCAGCATAGTAGAGCCATATTTGTTGGCGTACTAAACTGACAAGTCAATGATTCTATTCATTTTTAGTGACTTAAAAAGACTGTTGTGGACCATACTGAGCTTGTTTGTGAAACACAAAGTTATTGATAATAAGTCTATAGAAGAAGTTGATTTTCATAAAAAAGATTATCTACTTAAGGGAAGTCAAATCAAACTAGGATTTGCAGCTGAAACAAGATTAGCTTCTTTACAAAAGAAAGATATAATAACAATTACTGATATTCAAAGTTTCCAAAAAGATTGCTTTAACATGTAATACATGTTAAAGCAATTTAAAATATAATAAAATAAATCAAAGTTTCCAAAAATGAATATCAGTAATTGTTATTATATCTTTCTTTTGTAAAGAAGCTAATCTTGTTTCAGCTGCAAATCCTAGTTTGATTTGACTTCCTTTAAGAAGATAATCTTTTTTATGAAAATCAACTTCTTCTATAGACTTATTATCAATAACTTTGTGTTTCACAAATAAGCTCAGTATGGTCCACAACAGTCTTTCTAAGTCATAAAAAAAAATGAATTTGAAAAGTTCATGGAGTGAACTCCGTTAAGGTCTATGATTGTATGCAATTATCAGGTTTTTAACCCTTATGCATTGATAACAATGACTCCAGAAAACACAGAGGAGTACAAATCTTAATGAAATTACAAACAAAAATATTGAAATTGATAATCTATGTAATATCAGCCCATGAAAGATATAGAATGTACCTAAGTTCAAAAACAGTCACTAATAAAATCTTAGATCAAATTATAAAAGATAATAAAATAATTTTATATAGAATAGATCTCATATAAAGTTTATATTTTGTTAAAAAATTACGTTGTTCAAAATATCTTTTTAAAAAAATATTTATTTTATGTTTCTAATAGAAGAATAAAAGGTTTAGAAAATTCTGATAAAAATATTAGGGAAACATGGATTCAGTTGCAAAGTATTATATCCTTAAAAATATCTATATTATAAATTTATTATATTATAAAATTTTTATAATTAAAAAACATTTTATTAAAATGTATTTTAATTATTATAAAAAACATTTTATTAAATGTTTTTTAATTGTAAAAATACAAAATCAAATAATTTCTTTAAATCTGTTTAAAATAAACTGTTTAATGCTTTTTTTTTTTAATATAAAATATAAAATAAAATTTGTAAAATGTTTGCATTTTATTACCTAGCTGAATTTTTTCAGGTTACAAGTAGGTAGCAACTACTTATCTAGAAAGTACATAGTTAGAAAGGTCAAGCATAAGTGGATAGATTAACAAGCCTTTTGTTGCACATGAATATTTTATAATAATTAAAAAAAATTTAATTTTGTTGATCTCTTTTGTTGAACCTTTTTTTATTTACAGATTTTGAATATATTTTTGTAATTTTTATATTGTTGATAAATTTTTTTAATTATTATAAAATATTCATGTGCAACATGAATATTTTATAATAATTAAAAAAATATTAACCATGATCAAATCTTCAATCAGAGCAATTTTTGTTTTTGATTTTTCAGTGGTAAAAAGGATATATTTTCAAATCAGCATTCTACTTGTCATTGCGCTCTTTTTTTGTAAGTAATTTTTGTTTTTATTTTTCAATTGTTTAGTTTATTTAATTTGTACTTTTAATATTTCTTTTGATAGCTCACATAAGTTGTGCTAATATTGCCAAATTTCTTGAACGAGACCCTTTGCTAACTGTTACAAGACACTTTAATTTCAATAAGCCAAACAAAAGAACTCTTGAACAACAAAGTCAAAAAAGTCATAATCTTAAAACTATAGAACCATTATCTCCAGAAACATTTGTAGACATATCTGATACACACCAAAAAGTTGATAATAAAGATCAAATACCAAAATCATTTGGTAAAGATGTTGATAGTGAATTTTCAGTTTCATCAGGAGAAGGGAGTACAACTGACACAAAATTTCAAGTTGTTAATGCTGACAGTGCTCCTATAAAAAATGAAACAAACAAGACTAAAAATAATACATTACAAAACAAAGACATTTTACAAATAATAAAAAAAACTTCTATTTCTAAAGTGAATAAAAAATTAAATGAAAAAAGTGAAATTAATCAAATGAATTTAAACCATGCAATGTTAGATAACTTTCTTACTTTATTTCGACGATCTGTGATCTTAAAAATGGGTTAGTACTTTTTTTTTAAAATCATGTATTTGCAACATTATTATTTATTTTTACTTAAAAATATTTAAATATTTTTAATAAGGTATTTACAAAATTTAATGAATTTTAATAAGCTATTTACATTTTTGTTTAGGCCATGCTCATAAAAACACTAATAGCAAATCTTCTAAAAATAAATCAGGTAAGAGGTGCTAACAATTGCTTTGAGTATATTGAGTATATGTGGGTGCGAATAAGATTTTGAAATGTATTTGGAAAAATAAAGAAAAATTTTTTTTTTCTACTAAAGTGTTTAAAATTTTTTTTTACTAAAGTGTTTAACTTGTTTTTAAGGTTTAATTGAAACAATTTAAGGAATAACCCATTGTTCAAATACCTAACTACACACTTTTTCACACAATTGTTTTTAATATTTATTTTAAATTAACACAATTGTTTTTAATATTTTTTCTATAACTACTTTATATAGTAGTTATAGAAAAATATTAAAAAAAAAAAAATGCAAATTATAAGTTTTTTTTTTTTTAATAATTTTATAAAAATTAAAATAAATTTTTTTTTAGCCATTTATTTAACCATAAAATATGAAAACTAACATTAATATTTTATAAACTCACATAAATAACGTTAGGTATCACTTATATGGTTAAAAACTAGTCAATGCAGTGATACCTAGAAAAAAAAAAGAAAAAGAAAAAACAAAAACAAAAATAAAAAAAAACAAGCAAACAAACTATAAATAAAAGAAAAGAAAAAATTTAAAATAAAATAAAGAAAAAAAAAAAAAAAAAGGAAAATAAAGCACTAATAAATAAAGATAATAATAATAACTGTAATAATAATATAATAAAAATAATAATAATATTAGTAATAATGTGAATAAAAAACATTACAACACTATATTAACTATATATATTATGATATATAACTAACTATATTATATAACTTAACTATATTATAACTTTGCTATTTAATAAGTCTTTTACCATTAATTCTAATTTTCACATTATTACTACCGATTTTTATTTTTGGAGGGTGAAAAATAATAAATTCAGTTTTATTGATATTTTGGGAAAGACGGTTACTATTTAGCTAATGACACAAATGATGGAGATCTGAATTAACTTTTTCACAAAGCTGCACAAATGAAGATGTGAGGCAGATGGTTAATATATATCAAAAACAGTAAAGGTCCTAGAACAGAACCCTGTAGGATACCATACTTTACAACTTTACTTGTGAATTGAAACCCATTAATCGAGACAAACTGAGTACGATTGTTAATATAGGATGAAAACCAATTATTAGCAATACCTTGTATACCATAGTGATTTTTCAATTAAAATCTTATGGTCAGCTTTTTGAAGATTAATAAAGATGCCACAAGCAAAAGAACCACTGTCAATTGCACCACGAATCATTTCAGTAATGCTAATAAGTAATAGTGTTTTAAATGAAATCCGAACTGGTGGCCGTAGAGACACTTAAAATTATCAAGAAAGTGGTAGAAACAAGAATACATTAATTTTTCAGGAATTTTGCTAATATTTGATAATATTGATATTGGTCTATAGTTATTGCAGTCACGTTTTGAGTCCTTTTTATGGATTGGTTTAACAGATGCAGTTTTTTAATAATATTGGGAATATTATTTAAAAACATTGGGAATATTATTTAAAAACATTGGGAATATACCAGTAGCGAATGAGAGATTAAACAGTTAAGAAATTACTAAAGAAATATCATTAGCAAGAAGTTTTAGAATAAAGGTCAGAACACTGTTTGGACCAGAAACCTTGCCATCGTTTAGAGAAAGAATAACTGGTGTTTCATTTTTTTCAGTAGGTTTAATGAAAAGAGAGTCAGGGTTTGATGTTTTTAAATACTTATGGAAGTCAGTATGAGATAAATGAATATTTTTTTGCAGTTCTTTAGGGATTGAAATAAAAAAGGAGTTAAAAATTTCCGAGATTTTATCTGGATCATTTATAATGGTATTGTTTGAAGATATACAAGATGGATATAAGATATCATTCAAATGTATTTTCAAAAGAGTTCCAATACCTTTTCACGTAGCTCTCAAACTATTACTATTAATAGTAAAGTAGTTAGAAAAGTATTGTTTTTTTTTTTTGCTTCTTCGAATAAGTGTTAAAAGTAAATTTCTAAAGGTTTTGTAAGTTTTTTCAAGAATTAGTTTGTCGTGAAGATTTGTTTTAAGGAACTTCTTAAATATATTGTTTCGATTTTTTAATCAAGGTTAAAATTGCTGAAGTAATCCATGGTTTAATGCTCCGAGTTAAGCCATGAATACTTAGTTTTTTTAACGTGTTTATCCAGAAGAGAGTTAAAGCTAGTGAAGAAATCTTTATATGATTTATTTGTATTACTATTGGAAACTGTGGCAAATGATTAGATATTCTTATAGTTAGGTTGCCTAAAAAAATATCTTTAGAAGTTGAATTAGAAAATATATTATCAATTAAAGTACTTAAGTGATTGGTAATTCTTGTCAGAAACAATAGGAATAAAGTTGTTTGAAGCAATGGTGTTCAAATACTTCGAGATTGAATTATCTGAGTTTGCTTTTATAAGATCTATATTAAAATCACCCATTATAAAGATAGTTTTATTTTTTTCAACAGCAAGTTTTTCAAATAGAATAGCTAGATAAGAAACAATAAATTCATTAATATCCATGATAGAATGGCAATAAACACAGCCTACTATGATATTAGACTTTTAAGGGAAAATGATTTCAACAAATACAGACTCAATGATTTACTTAGGTATAAACCCCAAAAAATTGGGGTTTATACATAGATCAATATTATATATAAGTAAATCATTTCTAGATTTATAAACTAGTTTATTAGAAATATAAAGTAGAGTACCTCTAAATTAAGTTTTTGTTGGGGTATGTACATAAACATATCCACCAAGATTTATTGGAGTTTTTGGGAGTAAATCAGGTTTCAGCTTAGTATCTGTAATTCCGATTATACTAAATTCATAATTTATTAGAAATAAAAGTGAGCTTAATTTGTCAAAATATTTAACTAATGAAGCGATATTTAAATGAAATAGAAAAAAGCAATTAATATTGATGTTTGAAGAGTTAAATTTTTCAATATCAATGTATTTACAATTGATTCTCGTCACAATATTTATTATATTATGCACGTATTCATTATCCCCAATACAAAACTAAAATATTATCAAAATTACTTTTAAAAATATTTAATTATAATAATTAATTATATAATACATTAAATATTTCATTTATTTCTTTATCAATTATTGTTTATATTTTAAAATAAATATTCAAAAAAATAGATATTTTTAAATAGATATGTAAAAAAAGAAAATGAATTGAATGAGCTAAAAAAAAAAAAAGTTAATATAACTTTAAATATAACTGTAAACTTTTTTAATCTTCTTCTTACTTGACTCGCTGATGGATGGCAAATAATTTAAAGTTCTTTTTCTAATTTCTAATTTCTTTGTTCTTTTTTCTTTCTTTCTTTTTTTATTTGTAAGCAGGTATATTCCGCCGCATTCAATATAAACACTTTATTTAATTGGTTACTTATTAATTAAATAATTTTTTTTAAACAAATGATTTAATTTTTACATAACCATTCTAAGAAAGAAAAAAAAAGGGAATAATAAAATATTAAATAATTTGATAAATTGACCCAACAGCCGTTGGAAGTTCAAGTGTAGCTATTTGGAACTTTGCAGAATTAGATGTTTGTTTAGAGAAAATTTGACTGAATTTTTTTTTTTTTTTTAGAAAAAACAACTAAAGTAAAGACAATTAATCATAAACACTTTTTACAGCAAAGTAAAAAAGTTGAAAAAGAAAAGCTTCTATCAAAGTCCAGTGATCCCAGTGGAGTTGGTGATAAAGCAACTAAAAAACAAGGTAAGGTTGTTTATATATTTTTTTCTATTTAAGCGTTCGTTTAAAAAAACAATAAAAGTTTAATTTATTTGAAAGTTTAATAATATTATAAATTATTTAAAGTTGTGTTAAGTTATCCATAGCTAATAAAGGAATATTTTCAAAACCTAGCACAGAAATATAAAGATTGGCTTTGATAATCTAGCAAAGAAATCATTGTGGAGTCTTAGTAGGAGAGAATTATTGAAAAAAAGGGTCGAACCCGGACAAAAATGGCATAAAGCTGAAGTTTTGCAGAGAAGAATGTAGACAGTCTTTAGATTAAAAAAAAAAAACGCTGTTGATTGCGCTATGGTAACATCCATTTTGGGGCAATTTTGGGGGGAAAAAAAGGTCAGTTTTGACAGCACCAAAATATCATAAACTATATATTGTTGGATAGAAAAAATGCTGATCAATATTTATATAAAAACTATGACTTGGAAACAATTACTTTTTAGGTTGTTTGAAATGTGTAAAAGTCTTTTAAATACTATATTTTTTTGTTTTCAAAACATAATAACTTTTGTCTGTGCGTAACTTTAAATGGGAAAAATTGTGAAAAGAAATATATTCTTTAAAAATAACTTTGAGACTTAAATGTAAATTTCTTTAAAATGTCGATATCCGATATTTTACTTTTTTCCAAACAAATCATCAAATAAATTTCTCTCGTTTTCAATTTCATCACTTGAATCTTCTTCAATTTCAAAATTCTTAAAATGTAAAACAATTGTTTCACAAAATCAACTAATATATTTTAAGAAAATTACGTGCATATAATGTATTGAAAAAATAAAGTTTACTGTTTTATTATTGCAGTCTTGCCTGTGAGAGCTACCGCATGCAGACATTCATTTAATCCATTTTTCCTGCAAGAACACATATTAGTTCCACACATATTTCTTGACAAAGTTTTACAATCACAGTGAATCACTTTTAACATATTGGGTCATGCCACATCTTTGTCTGTTGGTATTGGAAGAAGACAACAATTATCTAATTTCCATCCCTATTCTTTTGTTTCCAAGTTGAAAGATTCATCTAGCATTTTTCATTCAATAACCTGGAGATGAACTCTAAGACCATAAAAATAAGCAGCACGATCTGTGGGTGGTAACTTTTCTGGCTTAATAGTTCCTTCACAAACTATGTTTATATTTCAAATATTTAAGAAATAATTTAATAAATTATTTTCTCAATCTAAATCTAAATTTTCTCAATCTAAATAAATGACAAAAAATTAAAATTAAACGTTTAGATACCAACTGCATTTTTCTTAACAAAGATTCTGTATTTCCACCAATAAGTTCAATGAAAGCCTTTACTGTAGATTCACCAGCTTCTTTTTTGGTTGCCCAGTAATCCAAAATAATTTCAGATACTGGTTGCATACTATTCGATTTTTGCAGTAATTTTAAAAAACTAGGTTTTTCTTTTCCCAGTCAAATCCATGATTAAATGTTCTCTAAAATTCATTACTTAAGATTGAAAATTTTTTATACTCCAGAGTTTTTTCTTTTTGATCATTAAAACAATCCACAAACTATCTTCTACAGCTATAATGGACTAGTTCTGTTATACTATTATGCATGTTCTGTCGAAACTAGTCTTTAAGATGATTAAAAATGTGCAAAAATAATCTGGTATGTTCTCTTATCCTAAACTTTTTTAGTTAACAAACAATTTTATTTTTCAATTAAACAAGCAAACATATGTTTGATTGTATATATAATTAATAAGAAATGATTCAGCAAAACTTATTATGTGCAAACTGAAGTTTTAACAAGCTGTGCAAAAAAATTTCTTTGTAAGATTGATTATTTAAACAAATTTTAACCTGGATAGTTCATTCATACTCCTTTTTTCGCTTAATTGAATCAATGTTTTGAGACCTTTTCCATATACTTTGATGTAACTTTCTTTTTCAAAGCCAAGCTTGCACAATAAACAAACTGTACTCATTTTTTATTTTAAAAATGTACTTTTACTACATTTAACAATTATTGTTTAACTTGTAAGTTTAAAACAATTGTTATGAAAACGAAAGAAATGATTAAGTTTCTCACAGTAATATTTTTTTTTTAAAAAAAAATATTAATCAGCATAAAATTTTCTATCCAACGATATATATTAGTGCTGTCAAAATTGGCCTATTTTTACCCCAAAATGCACAAAAGGGATGTTCCCATAACACAATCAGCAAGGCTTTTTTTTACGCTCATCCAGAGACTGTCTACTTTTTCTATGCAAAAAGCTTGATAATATTTTTGTCCGGGTCAATTGTATTTCTCTCCGACTATCTGTTCCATATATAGGTTTGATGGAGTGTCACCTAGGTTTCTAAAATCAACATTTTTCAATCTCCACAATCTGTATGATGTATACTGCATTTATATTGTTGCTATGTAGGCTTGAATTTTAGTTATATAGTTGTTTTTTTTAACCATAACTCATAACAAACCCACTCTGTTTCTTGTTACCCAGTTGACATTCCATCAAATCTAATATCCTCTCTGGCTCTCAGTGAAATATTAAGATTTGGATAGATAACAGAAGTAAACAGGATATATACAGGAATGGCATGCAATCACATGCTTTAACTGACCACACTTATAATATTTTTTCTTTACAATTTGACCACGGCAGTTTTGATGTTTTAACAGTTTTAATGCTATAAAAAAACTAGAAGAATAAGAGTTTTTTGACTTAGTCACATAAAAAAGATAAGACTTAATTGAATGACAAGTAACACGAGAATGAATTTTAGTAGATGGCAAAAGAGACGCTAGATCTTTAGAGCAATGCCCAATTATATTATTTGTAGAAAAGAGAAAGATAAGCAACATCACGATGATGTGATGTGGAGTTGGACAACTTTTATATTAGAACAACTTTATACTACAATTCGTTTTAATTAAAAAGAGCATAAGGCCAAGGATTAAACCTTGAGGAACCCCTGAGAAAATTACAGAATAAGAAGAATAAGAGTGCTGTTCATCAAGGACAACTTTTATATTATGAATAAAAAGGAAGGATTCAAAAATCTTAAAGATGTTACCAGATACATCGTAAGAAAAAAGTTAATGGAGAAGACCAGCATACCAAACTTTATCAAAAACTTTAGAAATGTCAAGAGTGATGGCCTTAACCTCTTCATCTTTATCTAATGCATGATAAAACCTATCGGTTATTACCGTTAGCAAATCAGCTGTAGAACAAGAATTTAGATATCTAAACAACAGTCATATGTTGTTTAGATATCTAAATTATTTTTAGATAATTAAGTTGTTTTTAGAATAACTTTATTTTGTTGTGTTCAATCACCACCACATCCCTGGTAATACCACGCTCAACTTGTTTTTCTGCACAGCAGCCTTGTTCGTCAAGGTTTGTGTTTTGGAGTTATAAAGTTGAGAGAGGGTTATAACCACAACTAAAGTAGCCTCCAAAACTGGAGTGGCCTTTATGGCCTTAGGGAGGTGTAATGAAATAAAAAATAAAGTAAAATATAGAAATATAGTTGGCTATACTAAAACACATAGATCACAATGGTTAAATAGGTTACATTTAAGTGTAACAATAGAATAACACAAAGTAAAAATATTTTAAAAATAATATTATGGTAATAAAATTCTAAGTACATTCAGCTGTTAAATTAAAGCTTATAAACATCTTAAGAATAAACAATATTGCCTGTCAAGTCCAAATAAACAATTTCTCAAAAAAAATTCTAAGTAATGCATAAAGTTTAGTTTATTTACTTAATTATTATCATAATGCAGATAAAAATATTAAATTACCATTGGTTGAAAATTTGGTAAATTATTAAAAAAATGCCGATGCTGATTCCGATTGTGCAAAAAGTGTCCGATTTTGATTAATCGGTACATCAATAATAATAAGTAATGAAACTGCATAATAAAAAATAAAATTAATTAAAGTTTGTGTTAAATAACAACCAATTTTTTGTTTCTTTTGGTTACCTTTGTTATATTATTTTTTTAGTTTTAGATACACCTCAAAAAGATAATGGAGAAAGTTCTTTAGGTATAAAAATGTTTTAATGTAAATTTTTTTAAATTTTTTTCCTGATTTATATCTTTATAAAATACGTACCTTGCTAATAAATGTTTTATTTTTTTTATTCTTTCAGCTGAAGGTGAACAGGATGGGGGGCTTACAGGTTTTGGCAGTGATGTAAATGGTGTTCCTACTGGAATGGGAGCAGGTGGTGAACCACTTGGTGCTTTTGAAAACCAACGAGTTCCTAATAATGAGATGGATGTAAGACAACAGCAGCAACTTTTTGAAGACCAAGGTGTGACAAATGTGTTGTCATTTTTTTTTTTAATTAAAATGTAAACTTTTTTTAATTAATATATTATTAATTTTTTTAAGAGGCTCTTTCTAGCATTCCTGCAAACGCAATGAACCATAAAGGAGAGATTCAAGATACTCCTATGGGAGATCAATCTCAAGTAGATATTGATCCTAATGCAATGAAAATGGACTCATATGGTAACCAACGAAATGAATATAAATTAGGACTAGATCCAAACCAACTAACAGAATCTCCAAGTGATCTAACTCAGTCAATAAGCATTGCTGGTATAAATAAAAACATAAATATACAAGGTGACCAAGATGTTGGTAAGATTTTTTTTAAAATAAATCTTGTTACTCTTGTTGTTAATTCAGGGTTCCAACAGTTTTTTTTTTTCTATAGCTTAATGCTATATTCTTAAGCATTATAGGTGTCTATAAATATATATATATACATATATATATATATATATATATATATATATATATATATATATATATATATATATATATATATATATATATATATATATATATATATATATATATATATATATATATATATATATATATATATATATATATATATATATATATATATATATATAATATATATATATAATATATTTATAACTGTATTTCAGGTGAGCTGATACAGCAGCAAAAACAGCAACTAAGCTCTGTTGAAAATCAAAATCGAGTCCTTCTTAAGAATTATCATCATTCGTTGATGGATGTAAAATCAAAAGGTATCATTATTATTTTAGATTTACTTCCTCACTTTTTTATTTATTTTGTAAATAACTGTAAAAATGACACCGTGACCAACTAACAAAACAATTAGTTCAACATACTTATGAAGCAACATATGCAGCTAACATAAAACTTATGCTTTACAACGTAAGCAACTAGCAAATAACTACTAGTTTAACAACTAATGCAACGAATGCAGCAGTGCATGCTACTAGTGAAGCAACGTATGATGCAAGCGTAACAGCTTATGAAATACGCGTAGCAACTTATGCAATACAGATGAAATACTTATATTTTATAAATTATGCGGGATAACACATATCTTTCTTAAACAAATGAACAAAGACTTACGGTATATATTTACTTAAATTTATATATACATATATATATATATATACATATATATATATATATATATATATATATATATATATATATATATATATATATATATATATATATATATATATATATATATATATATATATATATATATATATATATATATATATATATATATATATATATATATATATATATATATATATATATATATATATATATATATATATATGTATATATATATATATATAATAATAATTAATTAATTATTTACTATTTATTGTCTCCGTAACTTATAATTTTTGCATAGTTTTTTTTTTATTCTTGCTAATTGTTTTTATTTAATTTTTATGTGGTTTTTTTGTAATGATATTTTTTTGTAATGATAATTTTTTTGTAATGTTATTTTTTCTCACTTAATTTTTTTAATTCTTATTTTAATATCATAATATGTTTGCTTTTCTCGTTATTACGTATATTAATTTCAAATTCTGGTATTTTTTTCTTTAGCTTTCGAAAGGAGTTTAGACAACAAAAATTCGACAAAAAGTGTTGCAAAGAGAAAGTTGGTCAGAATCCCTCAAAATTCAAAAGTAGAGCGAAAGTTCAAAAAGCTGCAATCATAGTCAAAACAATAATTTAAACCTAAAATAAAATGAAATTTTTCTTTTTTGTTTTTATTATTTCTAGTTTTATGAAACAAAGTATAGATTTCTTTGATTATTATCTTTCGTTTGACTCAACAGTGTCCAGCTATGAAAACAAATACATCACTAACCGGACCTTACGGGATCTGGAACAATTCGATACAGAAACGATTTAACCAAACACAGCGGTCGGATGAATCGACAAAAAATTTCTAAGGCGACACTAAAAACTAGCTCCATAAAAAAATGCTTGGAAATCGACATCAAAAATCGTTGATGTTGATTTCTAAGCTTTTTGCTGGGTACAAACTTTAAATTTAAAAGTCTGTGCACATACCTTGAATTTGGCCTTTAATCTTTATTCTGGTGGATTGCGTTAATGTAATTTTTTCTGCATTATGTATTCTGTTTCTGATCTTACTGTCAAAGCAAAGTTAATAAACGACTTCAAATTGATACTTTAAAATCTCTATTTTATCAAGTTGGTGATATCTACGATGATTTGGTAGAAAAGGTGAATGACAGAAGTTTAACATCATCTAATAATATCTCATGGACAGATGCATGGGTGATTGCAAAGGCTATTTCTAGTTTTAAGTTTATCATTTTTCTAGTAGGAATCGTCAGGCGAAAGAATTATTTATACATGGCGCCTTAAATAACAAACGCAAAAGCTCCCCGAAACAGAAGTTCTCCGTAAATTGCAGAAATGACAAGAATTTTAAAAAAACACTGATGGATGCAGCTGAAATTAATTTAATTTAAAGTAACCCTTATCAGAATAAATAAGTATGAAAAATTGTTCAAGATCTAAACAAAAATTTCTGAAAAACTTATTTCTTTGCTGTTTTTGTCATAGTACCCAGTATTTCGTTGTAAAGATAACAATATTTATTCTACGTTAGTCGCAACCTTTAATCGATTTTATTAATCAGTTATTATTTTTACTTCACTTAAACGGTATACTTAAGTCATCAATCCTAATTAGTTATTTTTTATTTTTTATTCACAAGCCACAGTCATTAAAAATTTACCTGTTCACTTTTTAGTTCTCTAACAACACCCTTTCTTGATCATAACTAGTTCTTTTAGCTATTTTTTGCCACCTTTTAAACGCGTCACACCTCTACCCATTATCAACTAGCATCGGCCTTCCGATTATACCGAAAATTGAAAAAAAAACTGTAAATTCACAGAACAATAAAAAATATGTTTAAAAAGGATGTGTTATCCCGCATCATTTAGGTATAATCTACAAATAAATACAATGAAATATTTTTATTACTTTTTTTCATGTCAAGTTTGCTTTGCTTTACTGACTTCAAATGAAACGTTACTTTAAACCTGAGATTGTTTTTATGTTTTATATTAAAACATTAAGTTAAGTGCTGCGTGAAATCATGTGATAAGTATCTCTCTGATTACTAGGTTCATACTTTGTTACTTGATACCTTTTTACGTTTTTTACCGAGATGAATTCGTTGCCTAGCGTTTTTACTGTAGATTTATAATGCACACTTATGATCACAATATTTTCGAAAAATTCGGAATTATCCTAAATAAAGGAATAAACTTTTATTAAATAAAATTTGAAGAAAGCTAACAATTATCATTGTGACTTAATATCCATAAATAAGATATTTGTCGTGGGATACAATTAATAATGCCATGCATTAGAGAAATAAATTGATTTTGCCTCGTTCAACATTTTTTGCCTCACTATATTCAACATTCTTTTTTAATTTATATACTAGTATCACATTTTAAAATGAGTTTATTAAAATTTTTTTGCGTTTGTTTATTGTTTATATTGATATTTCTTGATTAATTGCAACATTTATTTAATTAGTTATAAAAAAATATTTTGTAATTTAAAGGCGACAGTGACGGTGACAACGACGTTTTAGACAACGTCCCAAACAACTCCAAACCAAACTTGATGGAACCAGAACAACAAAATGATGTTAAACCTTTTAAAATAAGAACAGAATTGCAAAATAGTAACGAAGATAGTTTTTGGGATAAAAATGGAAACATTGCGTTTTATGGAGTACAAGGTAACCTGGCAGTTTACGGAATTGTTTGAGCATATAACTGAAAATGTTACAAAAAAAAGACTTGCATGTTTCTGAAAAATTGTTGTCGCTTGTACTCAAATAAATTTTTTGAAACTGTATTTTGACAACAATAATAATATTTAATGTTTCGTTTAGGAGAAGTTGATAAAGAGATACCCGAAAAAGCAAAGTATATTCTTCATCTTCTAGACAAAGAAGCGGAGAGCTACGAAATGGCAAACAAAGGATATAGACCTACTTTGTTTAAAAATAATGAGGAGAGGTTTATGTCAAATATTTTTAATCCCAAAACAGTAAATGGAGGACTCAGCGATGTGACTGAAAACTTTCTTAGAAATAGTTATATCCCAACAGATCAATTTGCAAACCCGAGTGTTGAAAATAAAAATTATTTGGGGATTCAAAGGAGTCATCAGCAATTTCATAACCACTTAAACAATTATTTAGGACGTGAGTGGCAAAATTATCATAAGCATGAACGAGAAAATGCATTACAGCGTGAAAGAGAAGAACTAATTGAACAGGAGCAAAAAGAGCACGCTTCTTTATTAGCCTATAGACTGGCATTACAAGAACAAAAACATTTTTTAAAACCAGTTGAATCAAAAACTTTGGAACCTGGTAATTCTTTTTTTATTTAAGTACTTTAAATGAACATAAAAATAAAGTTAAACATAACTCAATCAAGTATAGCTTGTGAATATTTTAACACCGAGCTAATATTTGTCAAATATTTATAAAATTTGTCTTGTATTCATATATTCCTTTATAAAATTTAATACTATAAAACGTTAAATATTTTTGAATATACTTCCATTGAGTTTCTAGTGAGTACATTCGTTAAATCGACGTCGTTATGTCGTCAAACAACGTCTAACATCAAAAAAACGTTACAATGTCGACTTGATGCTGTTTGCTAGATTGCTGTAACATGAACAGCTTTATAATTAGTATTTTTTTTTTTAAGAACTGAGTTTAATGTCAGATAGAGGAGCAAGACAAAACGCGGAAACAATTTATAACAGTAACTCAAAACAGATGCAGTATAACCCCCTAAAGGAATCTGGAAAATTTGCTAGTAAGTTGTTTTACAAGTTTGAATTTTTTCTTAAACTGATAAATAAAAATATTTACGAATCAACACGATATTTAAAAATTTATATTGGAAGTCACTTGTAAAATTTACATTTCGTCACATGAATTAAAACTCATTTCACAATTTAAACATAGAATGGATAATTCAGGGGCGTGTCTAGGGGATGTCTGCTTCGTCGTTGGACGTACCCAAAAAAATTAATACATCAAAATTAGTTAGTAATAACAAGTGTACATCAAAATATATATACGGAAATGAACATTTTTTAATAGAAATTTCTTTTTATAGAAGTTCTATAAAATTTTCTATAAATTTTTTGTAGTTGAATTTCTAATTTATATCAAAAGTTGAGTTATATAACATTTCAAAGAAAAAGTTAGTTCGTTAAAGAAAAATATCATTTCCTTTAAAGTTAAATATTATAACAGTTGTGTGAATTTTTAGATATTAAGGTATCCTTTATTATATTAAGGTATCCTTTTGATATTAAGGTATCCTTTGTTTTCTTGTATTCTTTGGAAAAGAAGACAGAGTTATTACAAGAAAAAGCTGTTTATAATTGCATTGATAAAAACTAGTAGTTATTCCTTGGTTTTCTTTAATAATCAAGTATTTGTGGCAAGAAATTAGAATGTTTAAATTCAAATTTTAGATTTAATAAATATAACTTTTTATTTAGTCATATCCTTTATGAGAACCACGTGAATCATAATAGGAACTATGACAAACCACAATAAAGATCACATAACATAACCACATAAAAGAAAAACTTGTTTATTTAGGGTTTTAATTAAAGCTGTTACTGATTTTTCTTTGGTTGTTATGAAATATGAAATTGTGGCATGAATACTTTACAAATGTTTTTTATTCCTGTGGTTTTCTGTCTTAAAGAATCTCATAAAATATCAATAGATTATTTAATGGTACAACCCCATTATAGCTTCTTCTACTGAAAAAAAAAAGTTAATAACAAATTTTGATTTTGTTATTGCACTGTGTATAACAAGACATGTTTGTAATATATCTTTTTTAATTACACGGTTGTGCAAGCATGTAATAAATATATTTTTTATAGTTTGAATCTTGTTCAAGCAGTAAAAGTTTTTGTATACATAGAAATATTGTTAATCCTCCAAACACGCTTTGAAGCTTAAAATTTGCATTTCAAGTTATTATAATTTGGTTATCGCTGTTTCTTTGCTACAACATCTGAGTACTGAGTTTGATGATACAATTTTAAAGTGCTATAAGGCACATGTTATAATGGTTGGAAAGACTACACCATATCTTTAAGTGTCTTTTATTTAACCAAAGATTTTACTGGTTTATTTATTATTGCCATGTAAAGGCTTTATTACGCGAGTTTGACCTGTGGGAAGTTTGGTTGAATTTCACTCTAATAATGCTGAAACATTTCAAGCAACAAACTTTTTCTTAACTAAGGCGCCTAAGGTTTAGTTTATTTTTTCACACAGAGTCTATAAATAGTAAACAAGTATTTAACAAGTTTGTTATACTTATGAGTTGTGTTTTAAATAAAATTCAATTGTAATAAAAGTATAATTTTTAAAAATGTTAAACAGCTATTTTCATAGCCAAACATCTTTGTAAAAACATTATTTAGCATTGCACAGTTATTACAATAAGTTTTTTCTCTTTAAGTATTTATAAAGTTTATTTATAATTAAAAGATATTTATAAAATAATTAAAAAAAAAATTACACATCAAAATCTTGTATTTTATAATAATACAAAATCTTATCTAATCTAATAATTTACAAAATCTTGTAAATTATAACCTGTATATAATATACATTGCGACAACTGAGTATTTTTAAAAAGTATTTTTTTTAGTTTGCAAAAAGTTATATATTGAGCTTTAGTGACCATTTTAGCAATGTTATAAGTCATTTAAAAAATTATTAAAACATTTTTGTAAGAAACACAATAGAATACAAATAAATCCGGTCGAATGAAAAAAAATAAGAAGGGGACAGAGTTTTTTTTTGACTTATTTAAAAAGTTCCCTATAAACGCCCCTGGCATCGGAATAGAAAAACTTTGATGAAAGATTTTCAAAAAATTATTATGTTTATTTTTTCGTTTCGAATCTCATAGAAAATCAAATCCTAAAACGATTTAATATGAGATTGGAAACGAACAAACAAACAAACAAACATGTTTTCTATGATTTATTCTTTACGTTTCGCGCAATATTGCGGAACTTAGAACATGCATAAGTTGCGAATAAATTTTAAAGATATTTCAAACTTTTAGGAATTTTAACCATGAGACAATAAATATAAAACATACTTTAAAAAATAAATATACTACGAAAACATTTTTATATTATATTTATATTATGAAAACATCATTTACAATAAACAATTTACTTAATTTCAGACACTCCAAACAATCTTGATTTAACGCCAATTAGTAGCGATGTTTTGAACATGGAGCAGGTTGCTATGAAAAAGAAGAAGAAAAAAAAGCGTACTAATGTCGTTAAGTTAACCGGAAGTCATTCAAAGAAAGCGTCATCAACTAAAAATGATTTTTAGTATTTTATAAAACTAATGAAATGATCTGAGAAGAACAGAATCACACCAACACATTAACAAGAACAGAATCACACCAACACATTAACAAGAACAGAATCACACCAACACATTAACAAGAACAGTATCATTATAATACGTTAACAAGAACATTGTCATATTAATTTGTTAACAAAACAACACTTAAAAAATATTTTTTTTGTTTTAATTCCATTTACTATTAAACAACTCAACGTTTTACATAACAGTATGTCGGTATGACGTTTACATATACAGCATGTTGGTATGACGTTTACATAGACAGCATGTCGGTTTGACGTTTACATATACAGCATAGCAGTATGACAGAAATATGTTAAACAACTTTGACAACAATACATTAATATTTAAACTACAAAATTGTTTTTCTTTTTTACTCACAAAATCAGTAAAATTAAAAAAAAAAAAAAATGAAACTAAAGTTTTTTTAAGTTAAAATTATTTTTACAATAAACTTTTAAAAAGTTACGAAAACAACTCATTACTAGGAAGAAAACCATTTTTTTACAGTTTTTTAACTGTATCTGATGGTCTACCTTATTTTTAAAGTTATATAAAACTAAATATTATTCATATCTGTAAAACCCGAAATCATGATGCCAAAAGCGAAATTTCCTAGACGAGGTTACTGTGAATGAGTCATAAATAAAACTGCGAATTCCTATTGGCTAGATTACTACTCAAGTCTTGGATTTTGTTTTAATTTAATTTTATGTGTGTATCTTATGCATTAGTCAGCATTAGATTTAGTTTTATAATTCTTCTAATTAGTTTTATCCTCTGTCTGTATTGATATTTCTTGTGCCTCTTTTTCATTTACTTTAACTTTAATTTTGCACTGGACATGTACAAAAATTGATAAATTTGATTTTCCTTATTTCCCTTAGGCTTATACGACTCACAGTGTTCCAACCAGGTCACGGACACTGTTCGCGCACAAAATTTTACGAAAAATTCATTAACAAATTTGTTTCTTTATATATTTTTAAAATATTTTTTAATTTTGATCTGTAATTTTTACCTAACAAACAATTTGACCTAACAAGGTAAAAACATTTTTACCCTATTAGATTAACTTATAAATATAATCTTTATCTCTTAGAAAAATTAGGAAACCTTGTTAAATCAAGCAAACTTGAGATTTAAATAAACAAACAAACGTTTTAGCACACGTTATATAAAATATAATTACTTGATTCACTTTTATAATTTTTTTTTCCTGGACATCTGCCTTAGATTGAATTGACGAGTTCCTGTACATAAAAGAAAAACAGACTTAGTTCTGATTATCGTCATGTTATAAAAAATATTTTTACCTCTCCCATTTATGGTGGAGGTAGTTGCAACGGGATCAAATTCTTCTTCCGACAAATAGTAATGATTTATTACTATTACCATATACATGTTCTTTAACAAATTTTTTTGTCACTTTATTTCTCTTTACTAAATTTTTTTGTCACTTTATTTCTCTTTACTATTATTAAAATTTCTTTATTTTAAGTATTAGTTATTAACTTATCAATGTATGCAAAAAACCGTGGCCAAGTTGTCACAAAATCTTTTTTTACCGTGACCAAGTTGTCAAAAAAAGTTAAGTATTACTATTATTAAGATATTACTGATTTAGTTTAAACCAGATTTCAATATTAGGCTACATATAGAAAAATGTTTTATTATTTTTAGTAGCAATATAATTAATTGATTCACGTTTAAATTCTTAATTTCTTTCTAGACATATGTCTAGTTTTGTATATTGATTATCAAAATTCTTATAGTTTTATTTAAATGTTTCCTATTTCTTCGTCTGTGGCTGATGAGTTTGTGCAGCAGGATTTTGCGGTATTAAAAAGTATAAATGTTTGAGGCAAAAAAAACCCAGATTGAAGATTGATTCTATTTTTAATAATAAAATCTTCTTAAAATCACAATCGCCCGTCCAAATTTGAAAAAGATTTTAAAAATACGTATTTTAGGTGAAGCAAACATCATGGTTTTATTTAATAATAAGATCTGTTCTGATCATTTATTGGTTATTTTTCTTAATTATAAGGGCTTTCTTGGTCTTTTTCAAAATTATTTTACTAAATTCATGTTAACATTGATGAACGAAAGTGATCTAAAGATTCCAAAATGGTGTTTTTCAGATTTACTGTTAGAGGTAGTAAAATTTTTTTTGAAAAATATACAAAAAAGGGAAAGTTTCTTTAAATATTAGAAAACCTAAAGGAAAAAAAATTATATCATCTAAAGCTCTTGTTTAGGCAAAATACGTCGATAAAATTATGTTAATTTCATATAAAAGAAATTGAATTATTTGTAATTTGCCTGACTACACCTAGGATGCAAACTTTCCAATCCCCCTCCTCAAAAAAAAGAGGGGGCGTAAATTTTGCAAGGTCATGATCTTTTTAATTTACAAATTTTGTTATAAAGTTTAAAATCTGTCGATGACTACATCAATGCGCTCACAGTTGGATAGAGGGGGAAAATATCGTAGAGCTTTTTTTGCAAGTCCTCATTTGACAAGGGTTTAAATACACTTAAGTTTGGAATTGGCATAATGTGTTTAAATGTCGTATCTAAAATATTAAAAAAATCCTGTGGGCGCCTATATTTTGGAAAAACCGATTCGATCATTGCCTTTTTTTGTAATAAGTTATGTTACTAAAATCCTATAATAACCGAAAAACCCTGTTATTATTTTCCTTAACAACTAATTATCGGTGATAACCGATCTATTTTTGACATATGCAGTATCAATGCTTCTATTATTTTATTATTTAAGAATGAAGACAACGATATCAAAAGAATTAATCAGTTACTGCAAAAAACTGATGAATATCTTATCAAAACTAAAAATGGCGTCTGCAGAAGAAGCTGTCGAAATGTTTAGATATGTCGAAAGCAACGATGTTGCTTTCGACATATCATGTCCATTTGCACCTATTCCATCTGTTGCAGGTAGAATATTTGTTTATCAAATGAAGTCTGAAAACGACGACGGTTATAAATGTGATCATTATAGATGGATAAATAACAGTTCTAAGATTAGTAAAAAAGGCCTTAAAAAATTTTTTTTATCTAACCCAAACAACTACAGGCCAAAAAATTGTACATCAGCAAATTTTAATAAACAGGTGTTCATAAAAAAATATTAATAAAAGTCTTATTTCTATAATCCATTATATAGACAATGAAAAAAATGGGGCAACAGATTTAAACATGGAAACAATAAAACTGACCATCCATACATTCGTACCACATCGACTGTAGTTTTAGGAATAAAAAATGTTTTAAAAACAAGCAATAAGGCACAAAATATTTATGAAAAGATTTGTATGAATCAAAGGTAATTCATCCTCAAAATGCAAGACATTCTTTTAGTGACGTGGAAGCTTCTAAATCAGTGAGAAACGTAAAACAAGTCAGTAATTTTCGATACGGAGAAAAACAAGTCAGCAATTTTCGATACAAAGAAAAATAAGTCAGTATTTTTTGATACAAAGAACGCTTAGCGTCAAAATTTTTGGAAAACGACTTATATAACTTATATAATTTATCTAAACAAGATGTAGATAATTTTATTCTCCATTTTAATTTATCGCCAGATTTCTATTGTGTAATGGCTCACCTCGAAACCATAAATCAAAGTCTCTGTTCAAATAACATAAAAAAGATTCTATATTAAACCAAATAATCTTGTACGATGCAACATTCACCTTTTTATTTTTTGATTGTAAAATCAAAAAAAAAAAAGGTGAGTGGTAATGAGAAATACAGATTTTGAAAAAAGTCCAATATTTTCTTTGTTTTACTTAATCCATGAAATAACATGTGATACCTAGAAATCCGGACAAAACTAAAAAACTTATAACTTTGAGACAAAGGTAGAATTTTATTTTTGTAAAAAGATAATTAAAGTTAAGCATATGAAGCTTCAGATTTAAAAAAATTATAAGTTTATCATGCCATGTTTACGAACGTTGTCCACTCGGCTTCAAAAAGCCTTGCCAAGTCGATGTACGCGATCTTGACTGATCCGTTTTATGCAGTAGTTGATCCTGTCAGTGAGCTGGTAAACGGTTTTTGCTCTCCATCCACGATCATATTTGCTCTCCATCCACGATCTTCGTTTGAGTTCTGACTAAATGTCTTCGATTAGTCGGAGTTCTGGCACATTGGCAGGGTAATGCTCCTTAGTCACGAATTCGATGTTATTCGCTTGGAGCAACTCCTGCGTCTTTTTTACGTAATGAGACGTAGCGAGGTCAGGCCAGAAAACAATCTCGTCGTTCTTATGAACTGTTTCGATGAACGGAATCAAGCGCTTCATCAAGCACTTCTGGTTGTAGACATCTTGATTGACCGCTTGGCCTGAAGGTATAACCAAGTGCTTCGACAGGCCGTCCTCGAACATAGAAATCCAAACAAGTACCTTTGGCTCGAACTTGGACTTTCGCTTAAGTTTAACAGCTTCTGGAGTCATTTCGACGTCAGATGTGTAGAAACCAGCGTTTCCAGATAGCTCGTTATTGTTCAACGAAAACTAGGATTCGTCGTCGATGATCACCTGATTTTTCAGGAAAACTCTGGCTAGGTGGGCACACTTCGGACGAACGGCTGACTTCTGTTGTGGAGTTCAATCCGCGAATTTTTCCTTCTTTTTGTATTTGATTGTTGTCTTGGTGCTAATTGTTTTTGATATGTGCTTTTGGCTGACACCATACTCGCAGGCTAGATGACGCCGGCTACCTTCGTCACTATGATCAATTCGCTTTTTCAGCATTTTTCTCTATACCCCTTTAAGAGGACGTCATAAAATCCTGACCCTCTTTATTTTTAACCCCCAAAAAATTTACTTCATCTTGCAATGATCACATTATGTTAATATAGTGTGGGCTATTACACACAAAACAAAATTAATCAAACTACAAGACTTGCAAAACCATGCTTGTTAAGCAATTCATTATCTAGGTAAAATGGACAATCCTTCCAATGCGATGACAAATATGAAAATCTTAAACTTGGAAAAACTTTATTTATACCAGATTTCTATTTTTATGTTCAAATTTCAAAAAAATATGCTACCGAATTCTTTTTTAGACATATTTTCGTCGTTATTTTCTTAAAGTTATAATCTGCGATCAAATTTCC